AAACTAATTAAAACTAAATATGCTCAAAATTAATAATATATTATTTATAACCGTAAATGACTAAAGTAGAATCTTTCAATTTTCAACTTAAATCCACACTTTTCAAAAAACAAGCAATAAAATTTCCAACTGAATGCAAAAAAGTCGATAAAAGAAGATTAGAAACAAAGTTTCATTTTGAAATATAAACTACTATAGATTAAAAGCTTTTGTTCGATTACCTACAAAGAGTTATTTTGTTTGATTTTCATCTTCACTTAAGTCGATTTTTTAAGATTGTTATGAAATAAAGTTTATGCGAAAGTTGAGCTTTTTCTCTCTTTTTTATTATTTTTTTATTTTTTAGGTCAATGATATTTAAGATATTACACGTACTTTTAACATCATTTGGATAGCAAGAGTGATTTGGTGCTCAAGGTTCAAAACACAAGTTTTTAAGTGCACATTTCAATACTATAAGTCTTTAAATGCACTTACCTTAAACCACAAGTAGATTATGTGTAACTTCTTTTTTTTTTTTTTTATCTTAGTTACATAATGAAAGGCAATCATTTCTCATTGCTTACCCCATCCCATTAGTATGTCATATGACTCAAACTCAACATTTTTCACTTCCAATGAAAGAAGATGGCTACTAAATTACTTAATTTGTTGGCATGAGCAACTTTCCTTATGTTTTTTACTTGCAAAACGCTTTTTCCAATTTAAATATATATGTAAAGTTCGTTCTAGCTGAGAACAGAAAGGTCATAATGGAAACTGAGCAGCACTAATTAAAAATAATTATGGCATAAATAAATGTAAATTAAAATTTGAGTCAAATAAAAAAATTACTTGCACTGCACCTTTACCAACCTTGATTACGACGCAGTGAACTCTTGACAAATGTTAGGATTCAATTCGTTGCAATAGCAACTAATTCCTTCTCTCAAATTTCTCTATGTTCAAAAAAATAAATAATAATAATAATAAAACCTTAATTGGAGTCGGAGGATAAATTTATAAATTAAACAAAAGTAGAAGGATGCATTTGCAGCATTAACCTCGATAGAAGTGCACTAATAACCCTAACCCCTTTATTAAGGATTCAAACTATAACTATAGTATTATAGTAATTTTTATCTACTTCTTAATTTTTCACCGTTAAAAAAAAAA